TCTAATGAACACTGATTTATGCAGTTTTCCAAATTACATCAATCGAAACTGTTCATTGAGATAATGAATAAAGTCAGAATAATCATAGACCTTTCCAATATAAAGGACACACATTTCGTGTTACGTTCAATCGAAAATGGCCCGAGAAACATCAACCTTTTTTAAATATATAACTCTACCTTATATCTGCAGAAACTAGAATATGTGCTGGAAAGATTTAAAAAAAAAAGCAATGCAAATACGTACAGTATTTTTCTTATGTTAAAGAAAGGTATACAAGACGATAATATCGGAACTACAATTTTATTAACTTTATTTGATTCGTTGATCTGTATAAGCATGTGTGAAAAATAGAACATTGTATGAGAACGCTTTACAAATAAGAATACATAACCGCATATCTATTCTTATATTATAAAATTGGAAAGGTCTATCAACAGTTAATCCAGAATCCTACAGAATTCAATTTATTTGATATCTTCAAGAAAATGAATGCTGATCGTAGCTACTATTCAGAGATTGTATCTACAAACGAAATGAAAAAAAAAAAATGCTATATGTTTTTCGAAAAGTAAAGATCATTTTTAATATAGAAACAAAATGCGGTACGCAAAACGGTATTACACTTATATTTGAAATACGAAAGATAAAACTTAGGTGAATTTCAAGCGTAGGCAAGGTAAATCTATATATTTTGGTGATCCAACGGGAATGGGTGTAGTGACCGTAACAGTACAAGGTTGGACGATTTTGTACTAAATGATTGGCACTATAAATGAGATGTAAATGAGGGAATGAAAAAAAGAATCGACAGAATGGAATTAGAAAAAAGTGTATGGAGAATATATGATAGGAGGGAAGAAAGGGGAGGAATGTATATAGAGTAAAAAAGAGAAGGGCAGGAAAAGAGAAAACATACAATGGGAAGGAGCACAATTGAATTTGATTTGGCAGGGTGGAGGTAGCGGTAGCGGCTCTCAGAGGTATTCTTCATCGTACGGCGGTTCGTCTGCGTCGACTGCGTATGACGATAATAAGGGGTCGTCATCCTCGGCCGTTTACGAGGACAAGAGACAGAGTGAACGTGCTTCGTCATACCATCGTTCAGAGGACCGTCATTCAGCATCACGGAGCTATGCACCTCCACCACCCCCTCGAATAAGCGAAATGGCACCTCCAACTCAGAGATATACCTCGAGCCGAGGGCGAATATCGCATCAAAGCTCAAACTACAGAGGTCGTATTTCAACTCGCGGCAGCGGTAGAGGGGGTGGATTCCATCGCATGAGCTCTCGATCGGACGTCATCATGGCTCGCAAGCGTACTCTGCACTCGCTCGACTATCGACGCAAGCTGCTAGGATCGCGATCGCGAGACTACATCCAGCGTGTGCGCATGACCACAACCAAATTGCGCAGGAGGTAATTAATTAATAAATCACTTACCAACCGCAATACCGTCCTAGTAGCCTGCTTGCTTATTTGTCAGTAAACGAACTGACTATATCTGACTATAATGACCTGAGAGTCAAGACGATGATAGACATAAATGGTAAAAGAAAAACAAAAAAAAATGACACAAATGATCGCACGAAACCAATATTCTACTGCCGAGAGGCATACTTTTAGCAGGGTTCTAATAAAGAGGGAATTGATTCTGATATGCATAAATACATTACATATATGTATATATATATCATCAAAATACAATGTAATTACTTTTGATATGAGAACTACTATAATACTTGTACTTTACGAGATCATTATTTATCGTTCTTACACATAATAGCGGTGACTAAACCAAAATAATAAGAACGTTGTTTCTTACACATATTTTAAGACGCGAAAATGCGGAGACATAATAAAAAGAGCACGATGCAGTGCAAAAAGGCTGAATAGTTAAGACCTTTATTGCAATACGAAATGCATTCATTATGGGGGATATAAAGAAAACATACTATCGCGATATTTACTGTATATCAACTAAAGAAAACAAAATTTTGATTGATGGTATAATGAAAGACAAAGGAACCAGAACAAGACTATGAGAAATAATATAAATCAAAACAAAATTGCTGTGTCGTTAGTAGCGGTACTACTAGGCTATCCGGAAGTAAAAAGGAGTCAGGATCCGGAACCAGCATGAAGGACAAGGATAGAGAGATGACCAAAGCTATTAACGCTGAATTTTCTGATGACGATGAAGAAGATGATGATAATAAAAGTAATTGGGATGATGATGAAAAGGTAATCCCATAAAATCGTTAAGATCATTCTTCTTTATTATTTATTAACAATTTGTCTTATTAATTATGATATTTATAACATTTACCAACATTCATTCAGCCACATGAACGCGATGATGATGAAGAAGAGGAGGAGGAAGAGAAAAAGAAAAAAGATGAAAAGAGAAAGAAGGAGAAACAGGATCGGGAAAGACCAAATACTGAAGATGAAGAAGAGAAGGAAGATGAAATGAAGGAAGACGATGATGATCGAAAACATGAGGTGAGACTATATTACCGAAGTGTTAAAACGATTGAACCTACTTTTATTAATTTACACAGGTTGAGCTAATATATATCGTAACGTATATTTTAGGATGACGAAGACGATGGGGATGACGAAGAAAGAGACGATGAAAATGATAAAACTGATCACGGTAGAACTACCGGTTCAGAGGAATTACCTAGTAGAAGAGATGGAAGAAAATTCATTAAGTTGACTTGTCCACACTGTACCCATCGAAGCGTCACATTCAAAGAGTATTCGCTACATTTATATTCGGGCCGTCATAGCGCAGCGATGAGGCGAATCGCATCACGGCATAAAGCAACATTGACCCGTATGCGTGTTTTGCAACGACAAGAACAACGACGCGTGGAGGCCCGTGATGCTGTGCGTGGTACTCTACCTTCTCGCACCATGTTCTGCCCTATTTGTAAACTTAATTACCGTTCCCTTAAAGCAATACATCAGCTATCAGATTCCCATCGTCAAATGAAGCGTTTCCTTACACCGTTTTGCCGTACTTGTCGCATGCAGTTTCGTTCACCGATGCTCTTTGAAACTCACATGTGTTCTTTGGAGCATATTAAGGTACATATCTATCCTAGTGTTAAGACTTTTCATTAATATGCAAAATTTGTTAATATATTATATATTTATTTTTTGCAGAGAAAAAGTGTATTGAAAGAAAGAATGAATGCGGGCAACGGTGAAGCAGAAGCAGACTCAAGTGGACCCGAAGAAGATGATAAAGAAGTTAATCTTGAGAACTTCATGACTTTGGATTCTGTTGGTGATGTTGACGGTACGTAATTAAACTATATGATCATTAAATTGAAATCAATGTAGTCTTGCAAAAATTGCAACGTAAACGTAACTTACAGCAGAAGAGGAAGAATCTCCTGAGAAGAAGAAAGAGAAAGCAGAAAGTGAGGGTCCAAATGACACGGAAAAGAAACCTAAAAGTAAGCAAATGATCAAAGTAGGAGCGGAATACATAAAACGTGTCGAAGTTCAGTTCTGTGAATTGTGTAAAATGTACTTGCCTCGCAGTGAAAACAGTGAAAGGGCGATAGCACTTCATTGTTCGACTAGAAGTCATCTTAAGCGGTAAGGAACTCTGGATAATTCAACATACATATTTATGCTTCTTTTGAATGTTATTCGAGTAATAATGGTTAAATATATTACATAGGTATGTTCGTGATAACGATGACAAGGCGTTACGAAGACAAGCTGAAAGAATACATCTACAATCATCGTCATCTACCAATACCATCACACCTAATGCTGTAAATAGCACAGAAAATGCAAAATCTCCAACCAGTTCTGAACCGCCATCCACAAATAATACACTACCAACACCTACAACTGATGGTACCGATGCTACGGAATCTAGTAAGCCGATTGAACAGAAAGGAAATGTTGAGCCTGAGAAAAGTATGAAAGATAGTAAAAATGGACAAGCCGAAGAAGATGATGATGATGATTATCAAGGCGATAGCAGTGATAAGTTGTGGGATGATGTTGATAAAGATTTGGGTGACATCCTAAGGGAAACAGAAGCAGGAGGTAAATCTAGTGACGACGAAGATTCTCGTTACGATCGTTTCCGTAATTCAGATAAGAAACAACAGCATTCTGGCAAGGATAAGGATAGAGATAATGAAAAGAACGAAATAGACGAGAAAGAAAGTATAAAGAAACAAGAAGTGAAAGTAAAAATTGAAAAAATAGATATGTAAAGTCCAAGAATTATTAGTACGTTTCAATCATATCCCGTCATATGGTTTTATCGTTTCCACAAATATGTGTAAAGCATCGTAAGTGTGAATCATAGAACATTTTTGTGATCGATATTTCATACAGAATTATTTTTATGAGGTTAGATAGTTATTTTGACTCGAGTTAATAAGTAAGAAAGACATGTATAATACCATTTTGTTCTTGATAAATAATTTGTTGTAAGTATAAATAAAAACACAGTCATATTTATAAAGAAACGTAATTCAAATAACATTAATTTCATACAACGTTAAAAATGGAGTACGGTGAATGTAGTTTGATTTAAAGTTATTTGATTAATATTGGACATGTTTGAAATGTACGCTTGACATTATAAATTTCATAATGTTCAATTTCTTCGTAATTCGAAAAGAAATCACTATTTATGCACATTCAGTGATGATAATGGTTACAAAAACTGTACAAGGAATTATTTATATAAACATATTGAGTATCATTGTGTAAAAGTAGCGGTTATTTGTGCATCAAAGATTTATTTGATGAAAATTTGGAAAACAAATATCAATTTCTAATTCATAATGTAAGTGATCGTGTCAAAAATTTGGTACACTTGACGCGCGTATAGATGATTATAATAAATATTATACACATCTTAATGTTTTGTTTTCTTTGTTTATATACTCTTCGGTCAAAAACAAGTGAATTTGCATGTATTATCATTAATGTTCAAAAGATGGCATAACATATACAAGTTGAATTACTTTTTATTTTAGTAAATCTGTAAACAAGTTTTGTTGCACAAATTTATTTTTTTTTTCAACGATATTTAATAAAACATAGAAAACAAAAGTGTAGTGTGATATTTATGACAAACCAATTAGATTTTCATTTTTATGTTGATTTAATGTTTGTACATCCTAACCTCGCTTCCTATTAAAAAATAATTATTATCGGTACAATGGCAAATATAACTTCAATGTTGTCAATAGGACAATGTAATGACATTTGTCCTGAAGATATTGCCAACAGTTGTACAAATGTAACTGCTTCTAATATTCAAAGCAACTACAATGGTACAAAAAGTTTGGAAGATTTACAATGCTTTGTATGCGATGCAAAAATTCAGGGGCGTCATTATACATTAGCTACATGTAGGACGCAAACATCGAGAACTAAAGTGATAGAAAAACTGGGCGAATTGGTTGGGGAGAGGTACTGTCATTTAAGTATTCATACAAATAGAATGTTAACTTGTAATTGTACAATAGAATAAGAATCATTTTTTCGTATGATGTAGGTATATGGTAGTGATATCAGAAGATGATGTAATTTGCAGAAGTTGCGCTAATCTTGTTAATACGCTTGATAGACTTGAAGTTGAAATATATAATGTACGTGATAACGTTTTAAGATTTTTGGAACAAAAATACTCTTTAGAAGAAGGAGAACTTCTTGGCAATAATGAGAAACACAAACGTTCTCAACCACCACAGATCACAAAGTGTAACAATCAGCTTGTAACTAATTGTCAGGGTAAAGTCGAAGACGTTATTGTATCCTCAAACGTTGATAAGACCAAACATAAGAAAAGTAATATTTGGTTGCAATGTGATAAATGTCAGTATACGACTCTTCACAATTCATTTATGGTGCATCATGTCAGGAACCACATTAAACAGAAAATATTTTGTGATAAATGTGGTATACAGTTTTCGGAAAAGGAACAAAAATTGCATAGCTGTAACTTGAAAGAGCACTTAAATGATAAAAACACAGTTCAGAATGAAACAGGTGTTGTACATATTTCCTTTTGTCATTTTAAAAATGGATTTTTTTGTTGACTTTCTATGTTGGAAATGTTTTTCAGAATCATCATTAAAACATATTACTGAAAATATATTGGATATTCCAATCTTAGAAAAGAACATGCAGCCAAATGTTCCAATTATGGCCATTGAAACATATGCAGAGTCTCAAATTCCAAATTGTAATGAAAATATACCTATAATAAGATTATCAAATGCAGAAAATTTACCAATACAAAATATCTTAAGTTCTGGTAAGAATATAAACAATATTTGATGAAAACCAATTTATGAAAGAAATTTGTTAAATTATAGATGGTACTTCTGTAGCTGGTCAACCGATATACGTACGTGTATTACAACCTATCGAAATTAACGAAACCACACATCCCACAATAATGACGTCAAATTCTAATGTAGATTTAACTATGAAACTCAAAGATAATTCAGATAAGCAAATTTTAACATTAACAGAAGATGGAAATTTGGAAATGACAGACATAACTTGCTGGAATGACATACAATCATCAGAGACACAATCTAATATAATATTTCAATAATTCAAACTTATTTGATTAAATTAAATCTCATTTATTCTGTTATTTCCGTATACAATTATGTGTATATTAATCATATAATTATATAACATGTAATTAACACGTTCGCTATAAACATTAAATTAGAAATTTATTAGGAAATAATAAAATAGTATGCTATGTACTAAATAGGATTATCTAATTTTTAAGAATTTGATTTTTATTTGTTTTAAACATAAAACAAGGAAATGACTTCGAGAAATTCGAAATGTATATGAAACTGATAGCGAACATGTTAATAATTTTTCTAGTTATACAGGTTTTTGGTTTAAACAAAGTCAGTACTAATTTTTATCATATTAATATTTTATTTCAGTTTTTCACTGCTCATTATTTATAATTTCAATGTTGTTTTATTTACCAGTTTAAGGATTTTTTAGGTATTAGGTATTTTAATATTAGTCATTTGCACTGTTTTTTCTATGTAATCTAGTATTTATTCAAGTATCAAGTTGGACCTGAATACAAATACAAGATGATGTTTAAAAGACTGAAATGAAATTTCGTTTTTATACAACATATGTATATAGCAAATTTTCACCTTGTATAGCTACATTTACCTATATTTGTTCGTTGTAATTGTGTACATTGTAGTTATAGATGGAATCAAATTCAATATGAATTCACAAATTCAAATTATTGTAGTACACAAAGAGATTTAGAAATTTAAACATTTCCAAATAATTACATTTTTTAAATTAAACTATCTAATAATTTCTAAGGGGTAGAGCTTACATGTCTGACTAGACACGTGGTTAAACCCATTCTGAATTCTATCTAAATTTACTAAGCTTGAATTCCATCTTTAATTACAGTACACTTATATAAATGATAATGCACCATTTACAACATTGCCAACGGCATTTTGTGCACCACTTGCTACATCGTGAGCCACGTGCGCGCCACCATCTATTACATTCTTAGCCGTATCTACACCAGTTGAAACTGCATTTTTTACTTGATCGTATATGTTAGAAGCGATGTTGTTAACGGTGCCCACTGCGTTTTCAATTCCATCGTTAACGTCGTTAAAAATATCACCAACGATACTGTTAAAAGAATGCAGCGTGTCCTTAATCAAATTAGCAGAGTCTTCAGCAATTTGTCCTACCGTATCTTTCAAATCTCTCACGAAAGTCGCGGATTTCTTTCTGGCATCATTCAAAGCATTTTTCGTTATGTTCTTAAACATATTAAAAGTATCGGCAGTCTGGTTTTTCAGTTCGTTTACCACGTCATGAATAATTGCTCGAGTTGTATTCAATGTTTTAGCAGCATCCTCTCTCAACGAAGACAACGTCTTGTTCAAGGCAGCAGCTACCTCCTCCTTAGCATCCTTGAGTTGACCTTTCGCTTCGTTCACCGCTTCAGCAGCTTTTTGCATAACTTCTTTGACCTTTTCCTGCGTGGCATTTTTCACGTTCTTTATAATATTTGCAGCTTTAGCTCTAACGTCCTGCAATGTCCTGTTCATGTTGTTTTCCAGTTTGTTCAAAGCGTTATTGATGTCATGTTGAATTTCCTCCACCTGTTTTTGAATATCGCCTTTGATGTGCCTTGCATCGTCCTTCATTTCATCGACCTTCTTTCGAAGATCATTCAATCGTTCTTGCGTTTTGTTTTTAATACCAGACACGATCGTGGATACTATTTTTGCAGCATCATTTATATCTTTCGCGACCCTCTCTGTCACATTGCGTAGAATTACTTTACCATCATCTTCAATATTTTTAACTTTACCTATGATATCTTTAACAATATTTTCTACTACTTGGTTTACATTCTTGATCGTATTCAAAACATTTCCTACTACATTATTTACAACGCCCGAAACATTATGTACGATGTGTTCAAATTCGTTTGTAAGCCCTTTGGTGACATTCTTTAATAAGTCTACGGTTTTGTTAACGATTTCCGGTATCTGTTTGCTCACATCATGTACAATATTAGCGACATCTTCTTTGACGTGATCAGTCTGGTTCTTGAGGTCCTCTGCGATCTGCTGAGCGTCCTTCCTCAAATCAGCCAACGTGTGTTTGACGTTCTGTATGGTTTCGTTTACGGCTTTAGCTACATTCTGCTGAATTTCGTTCACCTGTTTTCTAACGTCGTTCGCAACATCTTTAATAATAGATGCTGTTCCATTTCTCAAGTCGTTAAACAAATTTTCGATATTGTTTATGTCATCCCTAATTATTTGTTTTACAAATCGAATATCGTACTGTATGTGTTGTAGGATCTCTGAACTTTTGTTTCGAATTTCTTGCAACTTCTCCGCAGTGGCGTTCCTCACCTGTGCGAAAACCTTAGCGGCATCTTGTTTAGCTTGATCGATTGCGTGTCTTACGGATTGGCTGACATTTTTTAAAGCATCGACACTTTTATTGACAAGGTTCTCTAATCTGTTGGATAAATCGTGTGCTGCTTTTGAGGTGTCGTTCTTAAGCAACGCGATGCCCTTCCTCGCCTCTTGCACGACGTGCGAGAGATCATCCTCGAGCGCATGTATGTTCTTTTGCGTGGCGTTTCCGATGCGTTCCAAGTTATTGGCGGTTTTATTGTGAAGATTATGCAGGAGGTTTTCTAAGTCCCGTGTAGCATTTTTAACGGCACCCGCAACTTCATTTTTGCTCGCGTTCAACTTATGCCACACGTCCTCCGCAATGTTCAAAGATGTGTTGGCAGCATTCTTCAGTTCGTTCTGTATCAGATGTTCTACTGATCCTACCAGTTGTTGCAGATCATTGGCAACATCGGAAGATTTGTTCTTGACGTTGGATATGTCGTCGTTCTGCGCCTATTAGAACATTTACAATATCGTTATTAAAATTTAACGTTCCTTTTATTCTCAAAAAATATCCAGAGTAAGTTCCTCTTTTGTTTGACAAGTATGTACAAGAAGTGTCAATGATCGTAAGTTCTATTTCTTTCAGTTTTTTTTAAATATTTCTAAACACTACAAAAATATTAACTCCTATTTAAAAATCATCAGCTACATACCTGATTTGCGGAATGTGATCCATTTTCGTTTGAAGGCGCGGGCAGGGCCTATATTCAATAATAAAGAAACGAAACAATAATAAAATTGTAAATTTCGTAATAGATTCAAAAAAAAGGAAAATTATTGAATGAAATTGTATTTAAAGCAATAATAAAATATATGTACCAGAACAGCGGCAATGCCGAGGATGGCGAAGACTTGTAGGAACTTATACATCTAGCTTACGTTTATGCAGCTCTTCACAAGTTTCTAAAAACGTATGATGTGATTTGGACTTTATTGTCCTTTATATATGTAGTTCTATCATTATAAAACACATCTGTATCAATACAAAACAAGTCCGTTGTATTATACGAACTGTTTGCTTATTATTTCGATTCACGAATTGTACACCTTGTTATCTAATTCAAATAATTCTTTTCATTCTGAGATTATCTAGGGCAAATGAGTGACAGAAATATTTCACATGTATATTAGAACTTAAATTTCGAATAGGTATTGGCAATTTATGGTAAATATTTTAAAATTAATATGAAAAATTGGATCAATAGTTTAACGCTTAAATCTTTCACTAATTATTCAATTTAGTACTCATTGTCAAATATATTATAGGGATACATCATCTTCAGTTACTATTTTCGGTATAGTTTTAATTTATAGTCGAACTATAACGTTCAATAAAGTAAATTAGAAATAAATGTTGACTTTATAACTATTATTTGTTCGAAAATTATACTTTGTGATCTACAAATTCTTGTTCATTTTGTGCACGTTAGTGATTGGCTTAAGTACACGCAATAATGCGCATGCGCCTTTATAGGGCTTGTGTACACCTAGTGACTTTTTATTTTGTGTATCTTACATAAGAAATTCCTGGATTTTGTAATTTGAAAACTTCGTCTGTACTTACTAATCTTATATTTCATCCATCGATAGAGTACAAAGCTTACTAAAGTTATTCAAGTAGCGCAAATTAAATGTTACATAGTGTTTTTTTATTTTAATGCTGCGCGTCTTAACTAGTAATGTTCAGACAATTTATTGGTAGCACTGTTAGTTTGAATCTTGACGTTAGAAACCGTTTATGTGACAATCGCTCAAGCTCGGTGAAAACATAAATATTATTTAGTTTTGCTGTAAAAATGTTACAATAACAATGGAAGAATTTAATTGTAACATTGAACACGTACTTCAGAATAGAGATTTCAGCATTTTGCAAAAGTTAGTATCGTATTGTAGTAATTTTCGTAATAAAGTTACGAGTAAAGTTGAAGATGTAACTGTTTATGAAATTGGTACGTGTACAAAATACTTTGTTTGATTAAACAAATCACTTGCTATTATACTTCTATAAACATATCTGTCTGTATAATATATCAGAGTTTAAATATTCCACAAACATTTATTTACTGAGTACAGACTTGTCAAATAACTATTACATGTTAAACATCATGTGTTTATGTGGAGTTGACATCTACTCAAAATTTACTTAGGATGCATAATGTTTATCTATTATATTTTTCCAATAGAATGTTCGGAGAAAAGAACTCAAGACATCAACAAAATATCTGAATTGCAACAAGAAATTGAAAGTTTAAAATCTGAAATAGATGCAACAAAATTACAACAGAAGATAGTAGATAAAAAGATTGCAAATGCAATTATTCAGGAAGAGGAACTAAAGACAGAAGTTGATGACGCGAAATCAAAAAGAGATAACTTATCTCTCGAATTGGTTGATTTACAACAAGGTGTTTCATTGGAATTATGGTGCAATATGTATCATCAAATAAATATGATGCTTTTGTTTTCAACCTTAAAATGTATTTTTTTCAGAATCAGAAAAAAGGAAAGAAGAGAAAATATTAGCTTGGAACAACCTTAAACGTGCCTGTAAACCGTATAAGGAATACTTAAATTTACGTATACGCTTAAATGACAATAAAACACCTGAAAGAATAGAGATTTCTTTCTTTATAAATGATGCTGCTCTGGAAGATAAATATTATGTATACTTGATTCATTCCGATAATCAATGGAAAGGTACGAAATCTTCATTTTTGGTAGCTATTAAGTCGTTACAGATTAGTGTGTTATTTATATGGTTCAAATTTAGAATGTGTTAAATGGTTTTAGTGGAACAAATTCAACCAATTCTAAAAATGGAACATTTGATTGACTTCAAAGGAATTATTGATTTTTCTAAAGAATCAGAAGTTTCTGATGTCACTACATTTCTTTGTAAACTTAGACATATTTTCATTAAGTATTATTTAAATACAGAACAATGACACGAAATTGTTAAACTATTTCTTAAAATGTTTTTACTAAAACCCAATAATTAGGAAAACATGTGTGTATTTTTATGATATGAAGTTGCTTATTTTAAGATTAAAGCCTTTATTAATAAAAATTAATATCTTAAGTTATTTTGTTACATGTACAAGACTTTTAATGCTAAACATTGCAAACTTAACATTGGCATAAACTTATTAAAATATGTTCGTCATTAGTACAGTAACTTTTTGATGTCATATATATCATGTTGCATGTTTTAACATATTGCTTTTGCTTACAGTTTTATTGAAAACACTAAACTGCTAATCACAGTAGATAAATTATTTAGATAGTAGAACTATAAACAAGTCTCTATTCGATTTCTATCTATATATGGCACCTACAAAGAGACATACATATTATAACTATGTTTGTTCAGCGAACGTGCGAGAATAAACTTTGCGTAAGATAAGAGAAATGGTAAATTTGCTTTGAACCATTAAGTTTGCTAAATTTTAAATACGTATTTGTTTATTTATCGAACAAATGTTATAAATATTATCTGATATTCCATTATTTTCGTACTGCTTGCAACGTCTACAATTCATTTGTTCAAAAACTAGTAGCGATAAGTTATCTCGTTTGTTAGTCCTAGCTAATAAAGCTAGCAGTCGTTATTAATAATAGATAAGCTACTAACAGCATTTTGTACCAAATTACGTCCGTGTAAAGAAAGAAACAATTTTAATGGTGCTATATCGTTGAAAAAAATTTTGAAAATGTAACTTCTCGTTAATCGTTTATTTAAAAATACAATTACGTATCGATTCGGCGAATTGTATCAAAATTATTGTGATTATCACTCTAACGTGATAAAACTTTTTCACTGGATTCTTTTATACGGCATAGCGAGTTCATCAGTGTTCGTGTTACATTAATTTGGATATTAACTAGTTGACATATTCGGTCCTTGTCAGGGGTCAAATTAGTTTTGCATATGATTCACATGATATCATCACTTTATTACATACTAGTAATGGGCAGATCTAGTCGAAGAACTTACGGGCATTAACGTTGTACTATGCATGCAATAAGATGTGAGACTCAGTCAGCGATATCGAATGCTGTTTCAAGTTTCCAGATTTTTAAATTTAGAAATTTGAGGGGTTCAAAATTTAAAAACCTAAAAATATATAAAGATGAAAGTGTAGAGAAGAATTTATGAATATAGGAGTTTAAACTTTTTCAAATTTAAAAATGTGGAACTTTGTAATCTTCATGGTTTTCTAACACTTCGATGTACATTTGATTCAGCCATCATTACTTTATACAAAGAAAAAATCTCAAACGAAATCGGCCAGTGAAATCTTGAAATAATTGTTGACGCACATCATCATACAATACATGTATGATGTAGTGAAGCGATGTAGCTACGTACGAAATATTCGCGAACCTACTCGTACACGAAAAGGGCCAATTGATTATGTATGCGTAGAAGCACGTTGATAACAATTCATCCCTATTGGCACAAGTTAACGAGAGGGTCAATTGATCGCCCACTGCCAATCAGCTCATATCGCGTACACAATGTAAGTTAACAGATTTCACTTACACTATTGACCCGACCGATTGTTCATTTACTAGATCATTCAAGAATTTAATTAAAGATCGAAATGTCGATGGTATTATAAAATGCTAGCCGTATACATGTTACCGTAATCGATTGGTTTCGATACAATTAATGGTCAATTTCCACATTCGGTTTTCTTTTTGGATGTAAAAATAAAACTCGAATAACATAGCATGTATTTGAACAGGATTTATACGTATCATCTTAACTGTACATGATCATACTTGTACGCTAGATTTTGGTGATATCATTAGATACTGTTAACGAACAATCTAATGGCGAAAATTCAACGAACGACGATACACAATACACCGCCTAAGCGTTACAAATAATACTTTGAAGCACGAATGATTAACGTTCACTTCGAGTTAGATTAAAGGCGAATAATGTTAATCGATTTCGAATACCCCGATCACTCTTACCACATAGAGTATCGTTGTCCGATATTAACAGAAGAAGTTAGGCGGAAGTCCCGAATGATACATGCGAAAGGACAAACTAAAATAAAGATAAAGAAAGGGACGTAAACGTGAACAGGGCGCATGGCGTTCAACCCCTCTGACCCGTTTGATCAAAATTTTCTTACGTATCGGTTGTTAGAACTTCCAAAATATTTACAAAATTGGAAGACAATCGGGAAAATTTCGGGTCTGACGGGTTAAAAATTAGCGGGATTAATGACTATTTACAGCGTAACGATGTCACCTATTGTAAGACAGAAACTGTAGTAAATTGTTCCTGGATCTCGACTTGCGAGAGGACACTTTTCGCTTTCGTTCAGCTCGCGAGTAACGTTTTCTTTTGGACGCGAATTTTTTTTCAGTTCATTATCGCAATGGTGAGCAGATCTAGTGCCCCTCGAAGAGCTCACGGGCTACTGGCGCGCACGGAACGCAATGGTGGTGGAGATCCGTGGATGGATTTTCAAGTTTGAAAATTTGACTTTGAGAATTCGGAAGTTGGCAGATTTAAAAATGTAGAGATTGAGAAATATAGGAATTTAGAGTCTACAAATGTTCAACTTTCCAAATTTTCAAATTATATAACTAGTATTGACAAATGTCCACCACTTGCACGTTCGTGCACGACATCCTGGAGGGCGCAGTATCCAATCGCTTTATCACTCTATCTTTACGCGCCGTATCGTTCCTCTCGCGATAGAAAGAACCATACTCTCACGTTACGTGATCTCGAAGCTCGATAAATAAATATCAATCTCGCATTACTTATTATCTATTACTACACAATTATCGATTAAAGACCGACGTCTAATCGCGAATGGTTAGCTGTCGATTGACGGATTAGTTGCGCGTGAAATCTCGTCGATGTACAGTGATGTTAATGAGCGTATCATGTGTTTGCGAGTATGTGTGTGGATGTACGTGTACGCGTGCACGTTATCCTATTATCATACAACGTTCTTTTTTTGTCGTCTGATTTTCTGTCGCGAATGTTTCCAAGAATTCACGCAAGCGGTTTAGATTAAAAACGAACTAAAACGCCCGTGTCGAACATGAAGCGAGGATTACACCAAGATCCCGCACCGACCGAGTCCGTACACTTCCGGTCTTCTCGAACGACCAACGGAACGACGTCTTCGGCGTCATCGTTTCTCAGACTTGGTGGCCACGAATCGAATCATCTCTCTTTCCCCCGTGTTCCTCTTCGTGTTTCTTCGATTCGAATCTTCTTTTCCCATGAATCGATCGCGCCTGACGATCCTCCGCGACTACCAAATGACTACTCGAGGGTCGCGGCGAAAGAAACATTTCCGCCGGATGCAGCCGCCGCGGCGGCCAACAACAGCGTCGGTGGTAACGGAGGAAGAGGCGACGTCTGTTCGGTAGGCGTCGAGACGGTGCTCGTTGTTGGACAATTGTTCACCACTCCGTATACCTTTGCGTGGTTTACTTCTAGAGCTACGGTCAGATCCGCCAGTCCTGGATCGCACAACACTGGATTATCTGCAAACAAAAAACACGGGGAAATCGCAACATGGAAACTCTTTTTTCTTTTTCGTACGTGTAAAAAGAGATAGTTCGAATGTACGCAATGTCCGACTTTTAACGTGTACACGTTTTCTTGAACTAGGTCGATAAACGAAAGCATTATGAATGTACTCCGCGTGTCACCGACTCCCCGGACTAATTCTTAATATCTATAGTAGAGATATTATCAATATTTCCGATATTAATATTTAATGACGATAATATTCATAAGATGTTAACAACAAAAGTGATTAGGTACAGTACTTAAAATTTATTATCATTTAGGTTATTATTTAAGTTAGAACCTCCGGTAGGAAAGCATATTCTGAGAAGTGAGTTGATAATTAAGTTTCTGTCTGAGAAACTTTTATTCGATAAATAATAGCGCGCGTGAGATGTTATGCATACAGAGGTTGCCCAGCGAAAAAAAAGGGATTCGAATAACGCGACATCGCAGTAGTTTCTTACGAAGGAGAGATTATTGAACGGCTTAATCTTCGCGATGCATAAAATGTTTGTTTGCATCAATCGAGTGTTCGTATCGGCGTTAAGAGGCCGTAAACACATAATCGTGAGTGGCAAATTCAATAACAAGCGAACAACGTGATCGTCGCGAATCGTTGGACGGCGAGGTTCGCGGATAGGAGGGCTTGTTCAATGAAAGCGTGAACGACGAACGGGGGAAAAAAAGAGAGTGAAAGAAATAATGAAGCGGGACCGAGATAACGGGATTGTACACGATAACGGAACCACGAAAAACCGTATATTTAACAGTAACAACAGCTAACGATCCGTCCTCGGTATACAATAAATAATAAAGAGATGGCGCCACGACGGGGGTTATCGCTTGAAATGTAACTCTTATAACAAAATAATGTACTGCTCGGAAGCCGAACGGAGCCAGCCACGTTATTATCAACCAGTAATTTATTTTCTGCTGCCACCGACCACTCTCATGACCCGTTCTCTCGTTCTGTCTCCTTCCATCCACCGCGAGACTGTCCTCGCGACACTTAACGACGTGTTTATTAATTACAAGCTGGCGCCCATTCAACGCGTCTGTGTCAGACGTTGTTATCCTTTGCGAGGGTGTGGTAACGGAGGAAGAGGCGACGTCTGTTCGGTAGGCGTCGAGACGGTGCTCGTTGTTGGACAATTGTTCACCACTCCGTATACCTTTGCGTGGTTTACTTCTAGAGCTACGGTCAGATCCGCCAGTCCTGGATCGCACAACACTGGATTATCTGCAAACAAAAAACACGGGGAAATCGCAACATGGAAACTCTTTTTTCTTTTTCGTACGTGTAAAAAGAGATAGTTCGAATGTACGCAATGTCCGACTTTTAACGTGTACACGTTTTCTTGAACTAGGTCGATAAACGAAAGCATTATGAATGTACTCCGCGTGTCACCGACTCCCCGGACTAATTCTTAATATCTATAGTAGAGATATTATCAATATTTCCGATATTAATATTTAATGACGATAATATTCATAAGATGTTAACAACAAAAGTGATTAGGTACAGTACTTAAAATTTATTATCATTTAGGTTATTATTTAAGTTAGAACCTCCGGTAGGAAAGCATATTCTGAGAAGTGAGTTGATAATTAAGTTTCTGTCTGAGAAACTTTTATTCGATAAATAATAGCGCGCGTGAGATGTTATGCATACAGAGGTTGCCCAGCGAAAAAAAAGGGATTCGAATAACGCGACATCGCAGTAGTTTCTTACGAAGGAGAGATTATTGAACGGCTTAATCTTCGCGATGCATAAAATGTTTGTTTGCATCAATCGAGTGTTCGTATCGGCGTTAAGAGGCCGTAAACACATAATCGTGAGTGGCAAATTCAATAACAAGCGAACAACGTGATCGTCGCGAATCGTTGGACGGCGAGGTTCGCGGATAGGAGGGCTTGTTCAATGAAAGCGTGAACGACGAACGGGGGAAAAAAAGAGAGTGAAAGAAATAATGAAGCGGGACCGAGATAACGGGATTGTACACGATAACGGAACCACGAAAAACCGTATATTTAACAGTAACAACAGCTAACGATCCGTCCTCGGTATACAATAAATAATAAAGAGATGGCGCCACGACGGGGGTTATCGCTTGAAATGTAACTCTTATAACAAAATAATGTACTGCTCGGAAGCCGAACGGAGCCAGCCACGTTATTATCAACCAGTAATTTATTTTCTGCTGCCACCGACCACTCTCATGACCCGTTCTCTCGTTCTGTCTCCTTCCATCCACCGCGAGACTGTCCTCGCGACACTTAACGACGTGTTTATTAATTACAAGCTGGCGCCCATTCAACGCGTCTGTGTCAGACGTTGTTATCCTTTGCGAGGGTGGAAAGCGAAATCGTCACCGTTCCTAACTGATCGACTTTACTGCGTGTGCGGATCATTACTGATGTGCGTGCACATTTGCGCACAACAGATTCTTATTGTCAACTTTTTTCGTGAACCAATTTCCTTTTATAATACGAGAGTAATTTATTTCACTCGTCCAAGATTGCGACAACCCCGAGAACTTAGGATGTTTTAAAAATTAGTTTATGAAATATTTGAATCTGAATTTTACTAAATCTGAATTCTATATTATATAGCATGATATTTAAGGTATAATTATAAGAAGTTTAGTACAAGATACATACTGAATTTTTTCAGCTGTGATTAACTATCGTCATTCTCCCCAGAGAAGTCCTATTACATTAACTAAATAACCTAGATCCAGTCTACTTAAATATTATACCACCGTCACGCAACTGTGTTGTTCACATTCGTAAACATTTTCGTTTCCCAAATGTCCCTGTTTGTTACTTATGACGTGATCGCAAGTCAAATACACCTGTGTACACCAATCATTTTGTTCCGTGAAATCATGCAACCTCATTTCCAATCTTTCGATCTGTTATTATGTGTACTTTATTAAGATCGATTAACTAATAACGTTAATTAACATCTCAATCGTTTCGCAACCTTGGACGCGTATTTATCGGCCAAGATTGCGTCGAATTCTGTGAAATCCTCTTTCGAGTATGTCAACTGATAATGACGAAATATGTACAAGTATGTACATACGATCAGATCGCTTACCTTGAAGGTATATACGAAGTACGTCTGGCACTCCGTGAACAGTACAGCGAGTGTTCGCCACGAGTTCAGGCATGAGGGTGCGTATCCGGTTTGCACTGACATCCGCCCAGCAAAGGACCGGAAAACCACGGAAGTCCCTTTCGGATAGTGTCACCAGACGATTGTGCGATGCGTTTAGCTCCTCCAAGGAAGGCAACCACGTCTACGAAGCACAATAACACGACGTGTCATCGTGTGCAGAAATTCTTGGAGACGCGTCGGTAGAATGGGTTCGGACCAGGAACACAATTATTTCATTGAAACAGAATTAATTCGATTCGCATACCTCTGACGTGTCTTCGAGAGTGGTGAGTTCATTGTGAGAGAGATCGAGGACTTTGAGACCATCAAGACCTCGCAAATCGCGGGGTCCAATCGTTGGCCCCAGCGCGTTGTGACTGAGATTCAACCTCTGCAATTCTTTCATGCCTAGGAACAACGAACCGTCCAGGCTTCTTAGTTCGTTATGCTGAAGTCGCATGTCCTGTATATTCCCACCAGCTGTTTCCTCCCCTTCCTCCTCTACTAAATTCTACGAACGCATAATTTAGGATCAAGCATTTGTTCATACAGGGTGCACCAATGTTAGATCAAATTTCACTGGTGTAGAAGCAAGAGAAAAATATACAGTATCGCTTGATTGTGTCGTCGGCGTATACTGATTATACAAAAGCTCCACGGTATCGAAGAAGAGACACAATATGACAATTAGTTTTTATCAGTGCGTTTCCATTACGGTCACTGAAAACGGGTAATCAAACGATAAATGCAAGACTTTCTTCACTTTTATCGTACAATAAATTTTGTATGAATGAATCAGGCAAGAAAGAAATAACGTGAAAAATTTCTTTCAAAAATGAAGTTGTACTTTCACAATAAAGTTTCACAAAATGTTCATACCTCACACGTTGTAACTAGATCATGTTTGCGTTCGGGTTAATTCATATCAGGTGTCGATATATCATTAATATTCATCAAGTTTTTTGTTCATTCTACACTTGTACACACTGTACTATAAACCCATTGATTTTTCTCTATTTTTATTACGAGATATTCCAGCGAAGTTCAATCATTTGATACCCTGTGTATTTTTTCTGGTGCCAAATATTTTAACAATAAATAAGTGTATACCTCCGACGGTGTTCTTCCTCTGTGAAGTCGCACGATCCTATTACTCGAAAGATCGAGCAATCGTAGTTCGCGCAAACCGCGGAGCGATGCGAACGAGAATTCGCGAAGCTCGTTGTGCGTCAGGTTTAAACATTTCAGAGACCTGAGAGGATAAAGGACACTATTGCCTCCATTCCCGTCGCTGTTTGCGCCGACTGCTCCGCCCAATGATTTTAGAGAATTATGTCCAAGCTCGAGATCTTCTAACATCTCCGCCTCTATGAAATCTTCCTCTGTCAGCTGAGGGAAATCGGTTCGTTTACGATATTGTTATCTAACACTTCCACGATATCAACACGTTGACTGCTACGTCACCATACGTGAATGACGCTGGAATTTCCGTGGAAATCCAATAGCCATATTATTACGAATTCATAATCACAATAATTAGTGACATCCATTAATTAAAAATATTCATATTAAATAAATTCGTATTAGAAATATTTTCAAAGCATGTCAAAGTACTGTAAAACTATTAAATTATTCTTAAATTTAAAAAATGTTAAAATGTATCTGACGAAGCTTTTAACAGGTTTGCCAAGGTGCAGTCAACGCGTTAACAAGATCGAACAGAGCGATCAAAGTTATGTTGGATGTGACGGAACGTTAAATAAATTCGTATTAGAAATATTTTCAAAGTATGTCAAAGTACTGTAAAACTATTAAATTATTCTTAAATTTAAAAAATGTTAAAATGTATCTGACGAAGCTTTTAACAGGTTTGCCAAGGTGCAGTCAACGCGTTAACAAGATCGAACAGAGCGATCAAAGTTATGTTGGATGTGACGGAACGTTAAATAAATTCGTATTAGAAATATTTTCAAAGTATGTCAAAGTACTGTAAAACTATTAAATTATTCTTAAATTTAAAAAATGTTAAAATGTATCTGACGAAGCTTTTAACAGGTTTGCCAAGGTGCAGTCAACGCGTTAACAAGATCGAACAGAGCGATCAAAGTTATGTTGGATGTGACGGAACGTTAAATAAATTCGTATTAGAAATATTTTCAAAGTATGTCAAAGTACTGTAAAACTATTAAATTATTCTTAAATTTAAAAAATGTTAAAATGTATCTGACGAAGCTTTTAACAGGTTTGCCAAGGTGCAGTCAACGCGTTAACAAGATCGAACAGAGCGATCAAAGTTATGTTGGATGTGACGGAACGTTAAATAAATTCGTATTAGAAATATTTTCAAAGTATGTCAAAGTACTGTAAAACTATTAAATTATTCTTAAATTTAAAAAATGTTAAAATGTATCTGACGAAGCTTTTAACAGGTTTGCCAAGGTGCAGTCAACGCGTTAACAAGATCGAACAGAGCGATCAAAGTTATGTTGGATGTGACGGAACGTTAAATAAATTCGTATTAGAAATATTTTCAAAGTATGTCAAAGTACTGTAAAACTATTAAATTATTCTTAAATTTAAAAAATGTTAAAATGTATCTGACGAAGCTTTTAACAGGTTTGCCAAGGTGCAGTCAACGCGTTAACAAGATCGAACAGAGCGATCAAAGTTATGTTGGATGTGACGGAACGTTAAATAAATTCGTATTAGAAATATTTTCAAAGTATGTCAAAGTACTGTAAAACTATTAAATTATTCTTAAATTTAAAAAATGTTAAAATGTATCTGACGAAGCTTTTAACAGGTTTGCCAAGGTGCAGTCAACGCGTTAACAAGATCGAACAGAGCGATCAAAGTTATGTTGGATGTGACGGAACGTTAAATAAATTCGTATTAGAAATATTTTCAAAGTATGTCAAAGTACTGTAAAACTATTAAATTATTCTTAAATTTAAAAAATGTTAAAATGTATCTGACGAAGCTTTTAACAGGTTTGCCAAGGTGCAGTCAACGCGTTAACAAGATCGAACAGAGCGATCAAAGTTATGTTGGATGTGACGGAACGTTAAATAAATTCGTATTAGAAATATTTTCAAAGTATGTCAAAGTACTGTAAAACTATTAAATTATTCTTAAATTTAAAAAATGTTAAAATGTATCTGACGAAGCTTTTAACAGGTTTGCCAAGGTGCAGTCAACGCGTTAACAAGATCGAACAGAGCGATCAAAGTTATGTTGGATGTGACGGAACGTTAAATAAATTCGTATTAGAAATATTTTCAAAGTATGTCAAAGTACTGTAAAACTATTAAATTATTCTTAAATTTAAAAAATGTTAAAATGTATCTGACGAAGCTTTTAACAGGTTTGCCAAGGTGCAGTCAACGCGTTAACAAGATCGAACAGAGCGATCAAAGTTATGTTGGATGTGACGGAACGTTAAATAAATTCGTATTAGAAATATTTTCAAAGTATGTCAAAGTACTGTAAAACTATTAAATTATTCTTAAATTTAAAAAATGTTAAAATGTATCTGACGAAGCTTTTAACAGGTTTGCCAAGGTGCAGTCAACGCGTTAACAAGATCGAACAGAGCGATCAAAGTTATGTTGGATGTGACGGAACGTTAAATAAATTCGTATTAGAAATATTTTCAAAGTATGTCAAAGTACTGTAAAACTATTAAATTATTCTTAAATTTAAAAAATGTTAAAATGTATCTGACGAAGCTTTTAATAGGTTTGCCAAGGTGCAGTCAACGCGTTAACAAGATCGAACAGAGCGATCAAAGTTATGTCGGATGTGACGGGACGTTAAACCCGAAACCTTTGAAAACGAGCGTTCGAGAAAAGTTAATTAAACGGATCACGATGAAGAGCATCGAACAGCCGTCCGTTTCAATAAAAATTTAATTCGCAGCACGGAAACGCGCGACATAATAATTAGATTAGGATGCAGTAATTGACTTAATGCATGGAACACTGAACGAACGCCTCCGCGCGTTATCGTGGCTCGCGATCGTGCCTTGCACTTTACGCGCTTGTCCGTGTGTTTCACGGACCACGCTCGTGTGGGTATCGACGTCAGATTTATGGCTGATCTTTAAAGCAATTTAAAGCTTATCGATATCGATCGTGGCATGAATGAAATCAATATAGACCGTTACTGACAATGTAGTAAGATTGATGCGCACGATCCAATGACGAGACGACGTCATTTAATTGAATTTAGGAAATTGTGACTTTGAAATTTGAACATTTTTGAGATTCGCAACTTTGAAATTTTTATATACAAATTTGAGAATGTAGATACTGAGAAAGAAGAAAAAATTGAATTACCTCTTGTAGGTCGTTATACGAAAGCTCGAGAAATTTCAATCGACGCGCCTTTTGCAGAGTACCATCAAGGCTGCGTATCTTGTTGTGCTGCAGAAATAAACTTTCCAAACGATGCAAATAACGAAATTCCGCGGGCAGGTGAGTCAGTTTATTATCCACGGCATAGAGCATCTTCAAGTTGTGACCAGAGGATGGTAGTTCACCGTCCAAGGATGTTAGCTCGTTGGCGTTAATTAGCAACCACTCCAACTGATTCAGATCTCTGGAACAAGATTTCAGTCACGTGCTTGTATGGTGAAAACCCCTCGTTTGATCATATCTCTTTAATGTACGATGCTACGATGCTCCATCAAACGAAATGATACGAATTATTCGAAGGCAATGAAATATCAGTTAATTATCGTTCTGTCATTTTTTGTGTTCTCTCTATTATTGATAGGGCTTATACTCGGGTAAATGTCTTTTGTATAAAATTATTTACTATTGCTTGTTATTAAAATTATGTTGACTTTTAATCTGAATTTTCCTCTTCTGAAAAACCGAATATATAAACTTAAAATTTGTTAAATTCTTCGATTTCCAAATTTCTAAATAATTTTACATGAAAGGTACTAATGTACATAATAAATATTGTGATCCCAAATAAATATTGTCTTGTCTAAAATATTATGGTAATTAGTTTCACTTTCTACATCGATTCGAAATATAAAGTAAATACCGTCGCAAGTGAAACAGTATAATCTTGAGCACGTGACTGGATCGCTAGCTTAATTGTTGTCTCCTCTGTCTATATAATCTGCGTACACGTTTACTTAATCATCTTCGACCGAGTCCGAAGAACTGCTCGTTGCATCAACGATGAATAGAGCCAATTAAATAACAGCCACTGTCGGAATGGTAAACAGGATGTCCGATACACGTTCTAGGAGCTTCGTGAATGAACGAACGTAAATTTTTGTTTCAGTAATCAAGATAGTGTCGTACCGTAGTGTTCGATTCAGGCTTTGCAAGTGATTGCGGCCAACGTGAAGGTGCTTCACTAACGGCGGTAACGAGCCCGGCACCATTTCTGAAATCGCATTTCCGGCCATAGAGAGATGCTGTAACGTTGGATTGTACTGAAAATCACACGTAAAAAGTGCATTTTGAGAACACACATTCTGTTTATTTCTTAAAAATTATTTGTTAGAAGTTAGTTAATGCATTTATCATTTCTCTTGGGTAGAAATTTTCAAATTTCCGAATTTACAGATCCATAAATTTCTAAGCCTTTTTCTAAATCCCTAAATTTATAGATTTTTCAATTTTCAAACTCTTAACAAATAGCAAAGTTTCGATGTTTTTAAATTTCTTAATTCTTGCATCTTGCAAGTCTTTAAATTTCCTGATTCTCACACATTGCAACTCTCCTTTCTCACATCTCGCAAATCCCCATTTTCAAAGTTTCCTGTATTTATTAACTTTTATCCGAAACGTTCACATCTCATATGGAGAATACCGTTCGTACTTCGGTTGTGTGATTGATTTGTACGCGGAAAAGGGAAAAAAACATGTGACAAGAGTTTAAAGAGATCGTATTTAACAGCGTCAACGAAACGTGATTAAATACGAGGACGCCCGACGTTTAATCAAAAACAGCGGTTGCACGATAAACTTGGTGTGTACGGATTATTAGAACAATTTTATTGCATGGTGAGAATGTGTGGAGCGTACAAAATTTTGGATGAGGATTAAAAACGTTTTACGTGGATAAAAACTGATTGAATCAATCACACTTACTATCGCGAGATTAATTTTTTTCGCTGTAATTAATGTTAACAATATCATCACATCAATATCGTAGTTGGAAGTTTGAAACTTCAAATTTTCTAAATTGCTAATTGAAAATTTTAAAATTTGAAACTGTATAAGTTCCTAAATTCTAAATGACTGCACTGTCCTACATAATTTTCCCAAGAGAATTCTATCGTGCTCGATACCGTGCATAAATCACGAATTGCCACGCGATACACAAATGAATGTAACATCTGAGATATATCGAGCGGTAAAGATTTCACCTCAGTCATCACAAAGCGGGAGGGCGCCATTTGCTTTATCGCGCTTTACGATTACGCGCAAACGAGAAGAAAAAGATTTTCGCACCATACGAAACTTCTAAATATAGCCTCTAATATCGTCGAGGAACAGTTAAATCTAGTTTCGTTAGCGATTATAAAACACGTGTTAGAATAGAGATCAATTACTCGAACGTCACTGTGCCATCTTTGAAATAAAGTTTCGAATGCAGATAAAAATACAAAAAAAACTTCACCCTATAAAAATCAGCAAGAAGAAAAACCTGATGCATTTCGTTTTTGCATTCCTGATTGCATTTTTGTCAGGAAAAATTAAAACGTTCCAAGGTATCACCAGTGACCTTCCCGTTAAATAAAAAGTGAATAAAATGGAGAAAGGCGAATCACGTTGTCGGTGGAGTAACGTGGCGGTACAAAATTATCTGGCAGTATCGAGTGAAAAATGTAGATAGCCAGTTTTTTGCATATTTCGATTGTTTTCAGCTGGTAAAACGTGTGGTAAACAGCACGAGGCAGCCGTGAAAAAGAATTCTCGTAAGTAGCACGATTCGTCTGGAGAACGATTGGTGGACAATTCAGTGCACGTGGCATGTCACGTGCGCGACAAGCGCCAGGGAAACCCCACCAGCTTCTACTGTTTGGTGTCTTCTTCTCCTCGAGATGAATTGTTCGTTCATACGCCGGCTACGGATACATTGTCGAGTCACGCGTAATGCAAAACGTGTTTAGAAGCACCGAATGCGACAAATCGCAGCAACGATTTCGAAGAACGTGAATGAAACACGTTTATGATTTAAATGCATGCAAATGACATTCATTGGCGTAACTAGTATTTTTAAGATCACAGTTTTATTCAAAGTGTATTTTATGTTGTATATGTGCAGGTTTATTTGATGCTTGTGTATATTTTGAGGGAGAGTTTCGATTCACTGGTACATCAGCTGATCACGCGTTAAATTTTTGGCAGTCAAGCAAGCAAGAATTTGTTCATCCTACCTCTTCTGGTTTAGAACAGAAATTATACGAAAGTGGTCCATGAAAAATTTAATTAGGTTTCGAAGTTGGATTTCTGGAACTTTGAAATGTAGGAATTGTGGAAATATGGAGCTATGGAATAAACGAATTTAGAAATTTAGGATTTGGAAATTTTTAAACTTGAAGACTTTGATCTTGGGTCCTTTACATTTTGAAGATTTGTTACTTCATCAAGTGAAGAATTCGAAACTCTGACATCAACATATCTCTTCGTCATATATCAAAAAGACTGCAATATTTTTAATAAACAAAACTTACACGTTCCTATTTTTTAAAAATGTACCCAGTTACGCCAATTCCTGTAAGGAAATTTAAAAGTAATATTGCAGACATTTGCAGTCGTTCTCTTTCAATTGTGAAAACCTCCCGAAACGAATTTGAGAATAACCAATATGTTTGTCGACTGTACAAAATCTGCGACTTCCAGTATCTCGAACACGTCGCAGATAAATCACAATACTTCACTTCCAGATAATATCGTTTTTGTTAAACATTTAAAGATTCCTTTGAACGATGGAAACGAGTACGACAAATGTACTCGACGCTCTATGCACTCCAAAAGTTATTCGGTGCAAATGAGATTAGATTTAATCAGCCCCGATAAATGCATATCTTGAAGGCAGTCATCACTAAAACGGTCAAGAAAGGTTACATCAACGTTCGTAATTGATCGTCATTAATGGCGCATTCATATTCTTCCTGTTTACGAAGCTACACGTATGCGATTGGTTCGTCTTTTTTCATAGAATTTTTTCCGCCATTTTGAGAAGGTCTACAGGTTCGAGAATCGTAATCGTGATTAAAGGTACGAAAACGGCACTTTAGGATCGTTAGACATATATTTTGAACGGGTATAAAAATATGTATAATTTTATCCTTTAAGTCTGAAATGAAGTTTGCAGAAAAACTTGTTCATGTCTGACGACAAATTTAATATATCAGTGACTCAATATCAACAGGTTTTTATTTACTACTGTTTGGTTCTAATTTTGTATCTTCCTGTGTGACTTAATGTCATAAAATGTTATAGTTACAGTGTTATATGGCTCTGATGTACATTTTGAAATGTATCTTATATTATGAATTCAAAATCGTATGCAGCAAAATTATGTGACTGCAATGTGGACTTAAAATATATTTGCTTTGCAACTAATTTTTACAATCGTAAAATTTAATACGAAGAACTACGAAGTTAATGTTCTGACTGATTCAGATTTGAATTTGTTAGAGAAAATGAGGGTTTATTGAGAAAAAAACATTAATGAAAACAGCATACCTTGAAGTCATCCGAGTCTATCCGGCTTATCCGATTTCTGCTGAGATCTAGAGTCCTCAGTAAGGACAGATGCGCCAGAATATGCCTCGGTATGGATGGTACCTCGTTATCCGCGAGGCTGAGATATTGCGTTCTTCCCAACCCCGCGAAAACTTCACCGTCTACGAACCTATAAAACATCAAGTCGCTCTTTATTTATCTCATTCGATGTACGAAGAGCAAATGTAATTAAAGCTTGTTACGCTTAACGTCATCTCGAACGACGACAACGAGACGGTTATCCGTCCTGAAGTGACAACTGTTTAAATTTAATACGAACGCGTCCAACGAATTCTATGAAATTTTTGTACGAGAAACGTTCGATTAACAAAATGAAAATCAGAGAATAAGGTATAGACATTTTTTAATTCAAACATTTATAAATTTAAAGTGTAGTTTTCTAATTCTCAAATATTTTTCCTGTAACGTAATCGAGGGCCATATAGCGAGACTGTTGTGAATAAATAACACGTTCAGATATCACTGAAGATCCAAATATACGATATCACGTGATTTATTATCAATACCAAATAACCACTCACGCGACATCGCGTGTTCGATTATCAGTGCTCAGTCAGTAATGAACGTGTTAATGCAAATATTTAATTTAGTAGCAATAAATTACATTTGGTATTATAACTAGTTAACTAGTAGCAGTTAATGATTATTACAACTATTATAATTAGTAATTAAATTAGTCATAATGTATTACTGAATCGGTAACAACGAGTAAAAGAAAAATTTGCGATTATGAAAAGCACTTCATAATGTACATAAACAATTTTCATATAAAGATTATATAAAGTTTTAAATACAAAAAATGTTAAATCGCCAGCAGATTACGATCAAACAATAATCGATTTAAGATATAATTTTTTACGAAAAATTCAAATTTTTTGTTCTGAAAAAATGTAGAATGTCATCCGCAGATACATTATCTTGGTTTGTGAGCGATCACAAGCAACGCAGCATGTGGCCCTTGTAAACACATGGCTAACGAGCGATACACAATCGATACTTAATTATCAAAAGTGAAACGAAGTTATCGCTCATTGTCCTAGTCACAGTGGTAAACTTGAAATTTTTCCGTGATACTCCGATTAAGGGCAGAAAGGATTAAATGAAACGAAACACGCTAGATGTGTACATCAAAATACATCTCGTGAAATAATTTCATTGGAACGTTTGTACATCATACTATCGATGCTCGATAAGAACTACTTAATTTCTTTTAATTACGTCAAGATATTGAGTGAAGCAATACATAGATATACGATTTACTGTGTAAGCATGTGCATGTGTATCCGCTGAAATATTTGTTGCATTTTTCATTTTATCGAAAAAGTCGAGTAACGATATAAAAACTATGTTGTATAAATTACATAATTCATAACAAGTGTATATCCTTGTTTTTTTAGAGTTTATTTTTTGTGAGACACTTCGTGGAATTCAGTAGTTTTTTGAGGTCGGATGTATGGTGGTTTCAAGATCGACGACAGCTCGATATTGCGAATTACACTTAAGCAACACGTTATATTTAAGCATTAGAAATAAAAAATTGCAAAAAAGTTGCGAAGTCCTAAAATTTCTAAAGCTCTATACTTCTGAAGTTTAAAATACCAAGATTCACAAACTTCAAAGTTTTGAAGTTGCAGAGAAAAATTTTACTACCTAATGAGACCCAAAAATCAGTTCATCCCTCGACTCCCTTTTCATAAATCTCTGATCTGAACTAACCAACTATAAAATAATGTTTATAACTTCAAGAAGACATTTTACAGTAACTTAACACTTATGGCACTATAAAAGATGTTATGGGTATAAAACGTGCTTTCTATTCGATCGAACTCGTCGTTAGTCCTCCGAAGTGGTGCAAATTGTTATCGAGATACCGTCGAAAGAAATGGACCAATGAACGTCTAAAACACGGCCGACGCACGGTCATTATCTTTCGATTATTCACATAACGTTGGCTCACAGCATTTCGTTATTTAATTATTCCGAATTGATAAGCGCAGGGCTTCGTGATAACTCGTTCGAAGAGGTCAGGCACGATTAAGATTTCATTCTCGCGTTCGTACTTCTGTCTTTCTCTCTTTCTCTCTTTTTCGCGAAAAGACGCATTCTCGATGATTGTTCACTCGTCAAGGACTCTCGTTTAAGTACACGATGTGTCAGGATAATCAAGGAAGACCAGTATTCGTCCTTTGTGCCATTCGTAGCTACATTCGTGTTTAGTTGGAAACGAGAAAGCTTTTCATCTTCTGCAAACTTATCTCCGATGAACGCATTAGACAGATTTTATCGATCGATGTATCTTTCTATCTTGCGTACTCGATGATTTCGTGAAAGAGTCTCTGTATCAGATTGAATTTTTCCTTAAATAAATGTAACTTACGATTATACTCGTTACGTTAATCGAATACAATGGAGCGATTTCTGAATCCCCCGAATTTCACTTCTCGCGCATTATCATCGTATTATTTAATATTTTATCAGAGACAGCGTATAAGAGCAAATAGTACGATTCGAAGATACACGAGGACAAAGATTACAGTAATTATTTTAGATAGCAATACACACGTGCATTAGAATTAACATATAAATCGAGGAACGAATTAATCGCGATGCATCGACCATTTCGGAACGTTTCGGTTGACGAAAATTTTTACCCGGTCACATGTTGACTGTTTGCAAAATAACGAAACTAATCGGAGTCGCTTCTTTGTTGCGTGTAAACATCTTTATTCAATGCTCGCAGCATCAGACGATGACCTTTCATAAAGATATTGTCATTCGTATCAATGCATATGATGCATTTACACGCATGCTCTTCTATGAGCCTTGAATGGCGAACGTTTGCATACAAATACCTGTTGAAACTGTTTTCCATTTTTTTTTGTATATTTCATACCGTCTCTTCTTTCTCTTTTGTCCTCTTTGCATCCCGTTTCTATTCCACGATTTATAATACTTCGCTGATATGTTTCGTCAGTGATTAGGGAACTTGATGGTCAGACGACGAATGTGTTGTCAGACACGTATCACAAAGCCAACATTATAATTCCTATAACTTTTCAGCTTTATCGGTCGATCATTGAAATTTTGTTTATCTTCTTTCGATTTGTTTAAATTTCTATAATACGAGATGTACTTTGTTTTCGTACCCAAATGTTGGTAACAAGAGCAACTTAAACTTATAGCATGAAATGAAAAAAGTTAATCATTCGAATTAACGAGAAGGTATGCTTCAAAATTTCTGGAAACGCGATACTTTGTTAATCGAGCGTATAACGCGTGGTCAGAGTAAGCGTGGCTCTGATATCACTTATCCACGCGTCATTATCATCGTCACACGATTTTCTTCATCAACACAGACGGTTTAAAGAATTTTCTCAGTTTTGCGTCTTCTACGAAATGATCGAGGAAGATTCCTTGAAACCGCGAGGTCGATCGTAAGCGAAAGTATTCATTCTACCACATTCACTGGGCGCTTTGTTTCAAAGCAATCAAATCGAGTCATGCGTTTCTGAAAGGGAAACGTTTAGACTCGTGTGACTGTATTACCGAAGTCTGTATTCACTTTTCGTTTCTATTGAAACAATTAATTAAACGAATACGTGATTATCGGTGTAACCAGGATTCTTGTCTGGGGTGAGCTGGGTTTCTTTATTAACATCTAGTATTTCACACCTGCTACGACAAAGTGGTCATCGACAACAATATTAAAATTTGAAAATTTGAGAATTAAGGGACTTGTTACATTGGGATGAGAATCTAGCAATTTAAGGACTTGACAATTTGGAAACTTAAAAATTTAAACATGTATCAAATTAGAAGTATAGAAATTATTTTAGACGTTTGGAGTCCAAAAACGTCGTATTCATATTTTAGGTTAACCAGGCACTCCAGACCCGATCTGATAACCCTAATACACGATCCAAGCAACCTCGAAATCCCGATTTGATTCGATGCATGTAAACTTACACTCACCCTAGATGATCATGATTGAGCTCGAGCCTGGTGATGGACATCCTCAGCTCTTTAAAATCGTGTCGCGATATGTCTCTGAGATTGGAATGCGAGACCCGCAAGGTGATCTGCTGTTCCGCCGTAAATTTACCCCTTAACGCGCCTGCCACTTGCTCGAAAGAATCCATTCGTTCGCACACAACCTCTATTCGTTCTCCGTGTCCATGGTGTCCGGCATTGTTCGCGGTGTTCGCCGCAGCCGCAGCGGCTGCTACTGCGACAGCAGCCTGCGCCGGGTTGATAACGGAAGTGGAGAACTCCTCTTGTCGGCAGGTGCACGGACTTATCTCCCGGCGAACGGCGCAATGAAGGCTGGTGCTGGCCGCCAACCCCAGAAGCGTGTAAAGCAGCCCTGACATGTTGTTTCTGACGTTAAAACGCGATCACGCTAATCACCATCAAAACGACCCAATAGAAAGACCCTCGCTCGTCAACGGAGCTGATCTTTCCACGGTCCGCAGCGGACCATGCGCACCCCTTCGGTACCAACCACCTTCCGCTGCTCGTTGCTCTCTTCTTTTAACACCACTGACACTTGTCACCGGGCCTCACAGAACACGACAGGCAATAATCACTTGGTAATCGGAATGTCTTCCACTGACAAAGGTAGTTAATAGTCCCGAGGGAGTCGAAGTCACCGACTTCAGATCGAAACGCGAACGCGATTCTTTAAACGATCGTACGCATCGCCAAATGAAACGAAGGATTATAAGTAGGGTGACACAGGGGTTGAAACCCTGGAGGTGTTAAGAAGTCTCGGTAACGATAGTCGGTGACACTCTGTTCGTCGACACAAACGCTAGACTGACACTGGTCCGAGTACGACTGACAGCTACGTATTATCTATACTGTCGCGATCCACACCCCGCCGGGGTATATATACGTAAGTATATTCACTGGCTGAAACGCGGGTGAAAGCTGGCTGCTGTGCTTGTGTCTATCTCCGTTTTTCTCTGTTTCTTTTTCTCGTTCGTGCCGGACACGAAGGAGGCTTATCGTCGCCAATGGGCCCTCCTCTTGGCGCCACGAACGCGGCAACGGCATTAAGCCGCGGCGCGCCGCGCGAGACTTACTTATAGTCGCAACGTCGTGCCGTGGCGCGGCGCGG